CCCCGTCATCTCGCCCCCTCCCCAGGTTTCTAGCTGCCCAGTCCCTAACCTCTTGGGGGTCCAAATGCCCCAAGGCTCGTACCCGCCTGTGAGAAGATGCAAGCCCAGCCTCCCAACCTTTTGGCTTCTGCGGGGACCCAGACTTAGCGTCCCCCGCCCTCCTCGCCCCCACTGCCCGCCCCCGCGGGTGTGAAGTGGAGCCGGTGGCGCAGGCTGGGGCCGGGCCGCTGCCCGTTCCGGTAAAGTCTCAGCCCCAGCGGAAGGGGTTAAGGTTGGAGGAAGCGCCAGGAGGGGGGAGGCTGCGAGTGAGTGACGGGTGCTGACGTGGGGGAGGCAGAGCAGCTGGGTTGCGGTCAAGTTCTGCGGGAAGGGATTTCCCCCAGCAGGCAGCTGAGGCAGAAGTGTTTGCCTTGGGGGAGAGTCGGGGAGGGAAGGTGGGGGGAGGGCCCGGGACTGGAGACTGGTGGGCCGAGCGGCCTCTAGCAAGCACACTGCTTTTCAACGGCATGGAGAGTTCACCCCTGGGGGCAGAGACTAATTAAGACCACTTCATAGATGACCCCCCAGAGGTACCTAGAAGGGGAGGGAACTAGGTTTTATTAGCTCTTTATAATCTCAGCCACTTTCTCCTGCTAGGGCTCTCAAGATGGCCTGCAACCACCCTGGGAGCTCTGCTCAAACACTACCCATTTCCATGCATTGAGCACTTACTCTTTGCCCAGCCCTGTTCTGTGCACCGTATTAAAACATGTATACAAGATCTCACTGAATCCTAATTGTGATAGGTGCTATTATGAGATCCAGTTTCCAAATAGGGAAACTGAGACTCAGTGACATGAAATCACTCAGTGGGCCAGTGGCGGAGCAGCCCCCCTGCTACTTCTCTGCAGAAGTAGGCCTGTTCATCTCTACCTGTGGTTTCCAGGCCCCAGACTAGTTCTCACATAAGCGCTTTGTATAAATCATGTCATTTCTTCCTCCCAGAGACCCTCACACGTGATGGTTCCTGTTTTTACAGAGAGGGAAACTGAGGCATAGAGTGAGGAGAAAGTGACCTGCTGAGATTCAAACCCAGGTCGATAGAATAATAAGAATCATGATGATCAATTGTAGTGAGTGCTTACTATGTGCTAGGCACAGACTAAACCCTCCCGTGCAACACTTCTCAGCAGCCTCACAAACATGTTCTTCAAACTGCAGGTGATAAACCGTGGGGGTTATGAAATCAATTTAGGGGATCTTCAAATTAATGTAGTGGGCTGTGACCACAAAACAATGAAGTCGACTAGAATAGAAAATGGCAAAGTAAAGCTGTAAAGCTGGGCTCGGTGGCTCGCACCTGTAATCTCAGCACTTTGGGATGCTGAGGTGGGAACATGACTTGAGCCCAGGAGTTTGAGACCAGTCTGGACAACATAGCAAGACCACCATGTCTCTACAAAAAAAACAAAAACAAAAACAAAAATTAGACAGGTGTGGGAGGAGTGCCTGTGGTCCCAGTTACTCAGGAGGCTGAGGCGGGAGGATCACTGGAGCCCAAGAGATCAAGGCTACAGTGAGCTATGATTGCACCACTGCACTCCAGCCTGGGTGACAGATCGAGACCCTGTCTCAGAAAAAAAAAAAAAGAAAAAAAGAAAATGTCAAAGTAGAACCCACATAGTAAGGGTGAGTATTGTTTCATTTTGTGCAATTTTAATTTCAGGTTTGTGTGTGTGTGTGTGTGTGTGCTGGGTTTGAGATAAAGTAATAGTAATATTAACAAACACTCAACATTTATGCCAGGTCCAGTGATAGGAGTTTTACATGTATAATTCATATAGTAAGTTAATCAATGAACTGTCTTTCTTGTTTTTAAGTTGTGATAAAAAATCTGAAGACCACTGTTCCAAAAATAGTGTTCTAGGGGTGGGCTTGGGGCTCATGCCTGTAATCCCAGCACTTTGGGAAGTCAAGGTGAGTGGATCACTGGAGGTCAGGAGTTGGAGACCAGTCTGGCCAACATGGTGAAACCCTGTCTCTATCAAAAAATACAAAACTTAGCTGGGCGTGGCAGTGGGCACCTGTAGTCTCAGCTACTGGGGAGGTTGAGGCACGAGACTTGCTTGAACCTGGGAGGTGGAGGTTGCAGTATGCCGAGATCGTGCCACTGCACTCCAGCCTGGGTGACAGAGTGAGACCCTGTCTCAAAAATCAAAAACAAAAACCAAACAAAAATAGTGTCCTAGGAAGTAAATGCTCTCCGGGTGCCCATTATTCAGAGGAGGAAACTGAGGCTCAGAGAGGGGAAGGGCCTTATTCAAGGTCACACAGCCTGTGGTGGAGACCGAGTTCTGACTCAGGTCCACGGGAGCTGAGTGGCCCTGTGTTATGGACAGCTGGTCTTCCCAACCACCCCTCCCCTTAATAGGGGACTATCACTCACGTGTCTCCGTCCTCATCTGCTCGGGTGGCCATGGCGATGTCAGCAGAAAGGGGGTGTTCCATGGGGCACATCATGGGGTACAGGGGTGTAGGCAGGTTCACCAGAGGAAATGGGGAGCCCATGGTCCGAGTGGGGTACAAAGGCAGTAAGGCTCCTAGGCAATGGAGGACAGAGGAGGGACATGGGTGAGGCCACACTCACAGACCCTCAACCTGCTCCCCACTTCTAGATCGCTCCCTACTTCTAGATCTTTGCTCCTGCAGTGTCACCTACCTTTTCTCCCAGGTCCCTTTTGCATCCTATACTGGGTCCTCAGGGCCTAAAACAAACCCCCTTCCACATCCCTCCTCTGGGCTCCGGCAGCTTCCTCTCCCTCCAGGGCTGGTCACCCTTATTGTCACTTATCTTCTGACCCCAATCTCTAATCAGACAAAGGGTCCCTTAAGAACAGAGGGCGCACCCATCATCACCTAGCAGGGAACCCGAGGGACTGTCTGCGGAGTGATTGTGTGGCTGAGGAAGAGCTGGGTGCAGGGTGTGGGATAAATGTAGAGTGGGTTTGGAGAGAATGGAGGGAGAGAGGAGGTGTCACCAGAAGCCTGTTCAAACTGTTTTTGAGATGGAGTCTTGCTCTGTTGCCCAGACTGGAGTACAGTGGCACGATCTTGCCTCACTGCAACCTCTGCCTCCCGGGTTCAAGCGATTCTCCTGCCTCAGCCTCCCAGGTAGCTGGAATTACAGATGCTCACCACCACGTGTGGGTAATTTTAGATCAAACTGTTAAAAAAGAGGCCATGGCAGGCCGGGGGCTGTGGCTCGTGCCTCTAACACCAATACTTTGGGAGGCCGAGGCGGGTGGATCACCTGAGCTCAGGAGTTCAATACTAGTCTGTGCAACATGGTGAAACCCTGTCTCCACTAAAAATACAAAAATTAGCCAGGTGTGGTGGTGCATGCCTGTAATCCCAGCTACTCAGGAGGCCGAGGCACAAGAATTGCTTGAACTTGGGAGGCGGAGGTTGCAATGAGCTGAGATCACGCCAATGCACTCCAGCCTGGGTGACAGAGCAAAACTCTGTCTCAAAAAAACAAAACAAAGCAAAACAAAAACAAAAGGCGGGGGACCACAGCAGCAGGCAAATCTATACCAACCCATCACACAGACGGGGAAAACTGAGGCCTGCGTTCTTACTCTTGCAATGGGAAAGCTGGGAGGCCGTGGCAGAACTCCTGACGCATATAGCTTGAGGCTCTCCAGCTGTCACACTGATGGGGTGGAAGGTGCAGAAACTACCTAAAGTCTTGGGGCTCTGGAGAAGGGCTCTCTACAGCTTTGGGGGTCAATTGGGGATGGTGACACGGCTACAGCTGTGCTAGGGGACACCCCTTCTTGAGATCAGGGATGGAGATGGGTTGGAGAGAAAAGTGTGTGGTCTTTGTCCTCTGCTGATCCTTGTGGGTCCTCTGTTCTTGAACTCCCAAGTTTCCAGGTCCCCGTATCTCCAATACGAGGCCTTGGGGCCCTGAGGCTTTCTGTCTGGAGACCCCTGAATCTTTCATCCTGCCTCTAAATTACCCAGAGTCTCAGAATTACCCAATCTTAGGATCCTCAGTCCCCCGATCCCCTCCGGCCCACCTGATCTTGACCCCAAATAGGACCCTGATCGCTTGTGGTCCCACATAACTGAGTACCCAGAACCCTGGGTCTCTGTTCCCCTGGGTCCTCAAGACCCCCTGGTATCTGGGTCCCTGGAGCTCTGGTTCATTCCCTTGGATCCTTGTGATCCCAGGTATTGGGGTGCTCAGAACCCCATCTCTGTTTTCATAATGCCCATGTCTTCAGATATCTTGGGTTCCTGATATTGTGACATCCTGAGATCCTCAGTATCTGTCTCCTTAGAACCCCAGTCTCTGTTACCCTGACTTCCTTTGATTCTAATAGCAGGATACAAGGAACCCCAGTTTCTCCAGCCCAGCTCAGCTTCCTCATAACCCTACATATCTGGTTTAAGAGCTTGTACTTTTTTGTCCCCAGGACACCAGGCTCTGTGTCCTGATTCCCTGACACCCCCATATTTGTACCAGTGGGCATTGTCCCTGGCCCCCCCATGTCACTCAGCCCCTGGGCTCTGCCCCCCAGGGTCCCCAAACCCCCAGATGCCTGTGTCCCAAGGCACAGCTTACTGGCTCCCTGATGATCTCCTATCTGTATCCCTGGAACCTGGGGTTATATCCTCTTGTCCCCCAGGTTCCTGGAGATACACGGGTTTGTGCCTCCAGCTGTGTCTTCTGGCTCTGGTGACCCTATGCTCTGTGTGGCTCCTACCAGGCCCAGACCCTCGGGGGGCCACTCACCCGGGTAGTACAGCGCCTCCGGCCTGGCCAGGCCGTGGGGGGGCCCGGGGACCGCCG